GACACCGACATACATAAAAACATATACGTATACAAAAGATTTTCATATTTCGTATTTGTCTCACACAAGCGTATGAAAACGTTTTATTATTTTATTGAAGCATTCATGGAATGTGTTCATTAAAAAAATATATGTATACATATTTTTTGTGGAAAAAATAGCTTTTGAGTATACACCTTTTGGTTTGTTTTCTGACACTGCGATCGCGGTGCAATCTCGAATCGAGCGAGTGCAACGGACGTGCGTATTAACTGTAATTATACCAAAGCCTTTTTAGTTGTTTCGTTATAATAACGAGCGCGATACATTAACGACAACGTTATGAAATTCCACATTTCTTTGACGTCATTACTGCACGTCAAAGATCGAAAATTCATGGAAGCGGTATTATCAAGATTGAATTCCGTAATTCCTACACGGGCAAATATTTGCACGACTGAAAATCACGCTGATGACGCCTGGTATGCTTGATATTTGGCCACCAATATACGCATAAAAATCATTTAGCCTCGATTCATTTTAAAAGAAAAATAACTATTCACTATAAAACATGAAATCAATATTTTCATCGCATTACGCACAAGAGTAGTTGCGAGATCTAATTTTTCTTAATTTCCAATGATATTCCAACCGAAATAAAGTAAATCGCCTTTTTATTTTATTCAACATTTTTTAGAAATTTTAACAACTGTTTGCAATTGGCAGTGATATCGGCATCATGTATTTATATCGCATTAATATTAACATTAATGAGATGTTTCAAAAAATTTTCATTACATTGAATTCTTAATTTTTTCTTCTTTCTCTATTTTTTTCTATCAAATAAACTAATAACGTCTAAATTGGAATTAAATTTAATACATTTCTTGAATTGAATTATTTAATTCCATTGTTTTAGTCCAATAAATTAATGACACATTGAGAAGCAGTGTCGACCTATAAATGATTAAAAATAACTCAAATTGAGTATAATTTAACATTATGAATTTAATGCACAAAGTCCAAAGTGTTCAATTGTTATATCATCTCGATATAATATAAAATCAATAATTTATATCATATTATCGAGATGATTCACGAGAAAGAATGCGCTAAACGATAATAAAGATGATCCGTATATACTCGCAATTTTCAAAGAGACGCGATTTTCAAATAAAACGCAAAATTTGACGATGGAGTTTTATACTAGAAGAATCTCGTGTCTAAGATGAAAGAACGTATCCTTTGACTTAGCGCACGACTCCGGAGCGATACAGTGATTTTCCAGGACGGTAACCATGATTTTCAGACGAGGCCGTCTCTCGGTAAGCGCGAACCGAAGTCAGTTGAACGACCGGTAGACACCTTTTGATGTCGAATCACTCTTTGCTTCTCCATCGACTCGTCTCTTCTTCCTTGCACTCATGGCGAACCAACTGAAAGGTTCCTAGGGCGCGGCGCGAACGCACTCGGCTGCCGCATACACTTTATTCCCAACCCATCGTTCCGTCCCAGCGATTTCGAATTCCCGAACAAATTTGATCGTCGTCGTCGTCGTCGTCGTCGTCGTCGTCGTCGTCGTCGTCTAGTCGAGCTCGCATCTCTACGTGACGGGAAAATCGCGAGCTTGCTCGCGCGTCGGAAAGCCACTTCTCTCTCTCGTCAACCCTTCTCTCGTCTCGGTATACATATATACCCTCATCTACTATCCCTCTCCCGTCCTCCCATAACTGTCCTCCTTTGTCCCTTTTACTGTCTCTCTCGTCTATCCACACGTGCTCCTCTCTCGTATTTTCCTACTTCTTCGTGGTTCTACTTTCGTACGCGCGATTGTGCCCTGACGACTTTATGGCGGGTCCTCGGTGGAATCCCAAACGCGGCACGTACGCGAAGTTACCGATTCGAACGAGGCGAAAGCTCGAAAAGGCGCGAGATGACTTTTCGGTTCATTCAACGGACAATCTCACGGCAATCTCTTATACGACATAATTTCAGAGCCAATAACACTGGAAGTTTCTTTTGAAGATGCGTTATAATTATACCGATCGATTTTTTTTTAGTTGTATTAGTCTCATTTATGAAGTATTTATATGTAACAATTTAAGATATGATATAGAGGAAAAGCTGATAATGTGCATTGAGAGAAAAAATTTTTAGTATTTGTTAATTATAATTGATACATATTCTTATAATTATTATTACTATATAATTATTATTATTATAATGTTAGTAATGATAACTATATTTACAATTCTATGAATATATTTAATAAAAAATGACTAATTATATTTCTGAAGACTTCGTGTTTGCGATCGCAATATAGTCGTTTTTTGGGACAATCAATAAAATATGATTGATCCATTTTTGTGGAAACATCCCGCAGAAATAATTTTCTTATCAAAGAATACATATTTACGTCTTAGAATGTTTTTAGATCAAGGATCGCCGGATTAATTAAAACTTTTAAGAAATCAAATTTGAAATATGAAGTGCATGCTATCGGTCGATCGAGGATTGACGTCGCGTAAAATTCGTAAACAGATTTAACACGCAATAGAGCTACGGTGAATAATTAACGCAGTATCCGCGGGCGTTGATTAAATTTCACGCGTCGGAGTAGCAAATTCATAAATATCCGCAACTGCGCTATTTCTGACAAAGGCGGGTGCAACTTACGACGACGTAGCGAAAGAAAATTAATGACTACAAAAGATTACTCTCCGGACTCCGCGGCTGTCCGATGAAATATCATAAATCGCGGGCTCGCTATGTCTGAGAAGTTTTCATAGCCGACCGCTTTCGTCTCTCTCCCATTCTCTCTTACTTGCTCTCTGCCTTCCTCGATTCCACCTCCTTTCCGCGTCTCATTCTCATTACGAAGTTCCCGGTCATCAAATTTTATTAGCCCCCACTTCAGGGTCGACCCGCCTTACTTCTAACTCAATATCGTAGATTCGTAGTCTCGGTTTAACTACCCTCCCACTCTCTCTCAGCGCAACGCACACGGAAGCACACCTACACACACACACACACACACACACACACTGACTAGCTCTTTCTTGATCTCTCTCTCTCTCTCTCCCTCTCTCCCTCTCCCTCTGTTCCTTTTCTCTTCTTACACTCTCCAGCATGCGCGCTTTTCTCTTCGCATCTCTCATTCGCCTTCGAATGTAAGCGCAGCGAGCGACTTTGAAAGAGGCAATAATTCCGTGCTCTACGACCAAGAACTAATTTCCACCAGTCTGACAGAGGGGTATTGCAAAGGAAGGGGGTTAGTAAAGAGCAGGCAGGAAAAGACGAAAAGTGGTCTCACCTCGAGGCTCTCTTTTCGACTTCCCTCGTTCTTCACGGACGGTTCGTTTTCGCGCGCGCCCTTTTATCGCTCGACAATGATGTGCCGGGGTGTAGCCACCTCGGCCCTACGTGGTCAAGGGTCGCAGCCAATAAACTTTGCCAGCGGGCTACTAACCTACGTGTCGGTCGAATCTGTAGAAAGATGGTAACGGCCAAGAAAGAAAGAGAGAGAGAGAAGGGAAAGGATCGGGCAAGGCCTTTCTGAAGGCGCGGCGTGAAGTTTCCGCTTCGCGTCCTTTAATTGCAACGGCCAGAATTGGAACTAACGACTTTCTTTCGATAACGTTTAAAAGCCATGGCGACGGTGCTGATGTGACATTTACGAACGTGATGTCGAAACGGTTGCCTCTGCGTTTTACCACGTTCGAAAGACTGATGGTTGGCACTATCCAGAAACGTGAATCGAAAAACAAATAGGGAATAAAATGAAAGTGTTGAAAATAAAATTATAGCTATTATATAAATCGAAACAATATAAAATGATATATTACGTTTTACAAAATGTATAATATATTGAACAGTAATTATACTGATATATTTTATAAAGTTACTTTCTGTTGAAACGCATTTCCTTCATTAACGAGAAATAATTAGCTCGGTGATGCAAAATAGCTACTTTTAAAGAGGCTTTTCGGATATAATTTATACCAGTTTCAAAAGAGAATCCACTCAACCTTGTGGCCAATGAAAATTAAGTTCATCAGAGTTGCAAAGAAGTTAAACTATCACGAGGTCCGAGTAATGATTGTAATAATTGGCGAGATAGTAATCTGAAGTTCGTTATCGTCGTGCATTACATTCGGGATGTAGACGGGACCATTGCGGGTAATAAAAGTTACCGAAAGCTAGCAAGCTATAAAATTAAATCCATAGAGCGAGGAGAGATAAAAGCGAGAGGGAACGCTTTCGAAAGAGATCGAGAAGAAATTTTCCGCTCTATATAGCTCAACAACCTGGCTGACTTGCGGATTCAAATTCTAATTAATGTGATTCTACGCGAGTAGGAATTATCATCTTCATTTTGAAGATTTCATTTCGTGGTCTTCATGTTGGAAACACGTACATTTCCTCTTAATTATGTAATATCATATAAGCTCGATATGCGGTTTAAACGGATCGCGGAAATTGAATGATAAAGACGATATAGAAATTAATGGCGTTTTAGTTACGGATCGTGCGACATACTCAGCAATCGTGGAAAAGCCACCTAATCCTCTTACATCTTTGCGAACTCGCGTTGGATGCACGCTGACCGACTCTTTGAAAGGTTCGCTCTGTAAGCCCTTAAACCCATCTCGGGCGCAGCAATTCCAGACCAATTTCGAGAAAATTCAATCGTGAAATATACAGCACGGGCAACGCTGCGAGGATCGACGGATCGACAGAAACAATAAGGACGTGAGACTCAAATCCCTCGTTCGTTTCGTGCGAAACAAATTAAGAATCGATTGGTCATCTCTATTTTTTTTTGTGTCTGTAAGCTTACCAACTTAATGATAGTTCCTATGTAATGTAACTATAATTACAAATTGCAATAATCGCGTTCCAAGTAAAATTATATTTTACGGAAATAAATTAATTAAACATGATAAATATAACGCATTTTCTTACTCGCAATGTAGTCAAAGAATTCAACGAATTGGAAAGAAATGATGAAGATGATTTACCTTTTGCTGTTGCGTTTGCGCGGGTTCGGTGGAAAGAAGCTGCTTCAAGGCCGCGTGCCCGTGACCATTCGTTGTAGAGGTTGCACCAGGTGTGCTTGGTGTGCTGGGATTGCTTCCGGGGGTATTCGGCGTATGAGGTCCGGTCGTGGGGCTGCAAGGACCGATGATGTCATTGATTTTGCTGCCGGCATGATGATTCTCCGTGTGCCTCCTCAGGCTCCTCGCGTCGCAATAAGACTTGCCGCATCCTTCGGCTTTGCACTCGTACGGCTTTTTATTTCGATGTGTCAGCATGTGTCCATTCCTGTACAATCAAAAAGATTTGGCTTGTTAGTTTCAAAAGCATAAATCCACCATATCTCGCCATATTTTCATTGTTTGCAAAACATAACAGTATAGCATAGTTTTTCAAAACGTTTTTTAATTCCTTCACGGAAAGAACGGCTTTGCTGAGGTACCTAAGAATTTACGAGATCTGAAAATAATTTTAATCCTGGCTGAGATATTTTTCGCAATTAGTTCTTTATCGAATTAATTTAGAGGGAATTATTTAATTCATATATAGGAATATCCGAATGTTTCGGTGTGCTTTATCATATTTATATTATTAGTGTCTCAGATCGATCGTGATTAATATCCGAACGTTTCGGTGCAGTCATATCTGAGATAATTAAATTTACAAATTAAAAATATATATTGTATTCATAACATCTAACTTTGATCGATTATTAGTGTTCTCTCTCATATTTATGAAAATAATTTTATTGGATTATCAAAATAATTATGTAGAATGTTCAAACTTGATGAACAATGTTTTTAACAAGTACTTTGAGTGTTTTAGATAATTATTTTGATGGTGTCCAAAAGAATTATTTTAAAATCTATATCTAGCTGAATTTTTAGATACTTCAACAGAATTATTCTCTCCGTGTTCCTCAAGAAAGGAATAAATCGAACATTTTGTGAAATTAAGAAAACTTCAATCCTCTCGCTTGAGAGAACCTCATAACTTACTTCTATTCTTTCCTTTCATGAAAACTTAACTTAGTTAACAACAATTAAAACTTGCGATAAAAATAAAATTTGTAATACGATCACAGTTATCCAATTTATTATAATAAATTTCGTTCAGAAATTTAACTTTTTAAAGAGAACCGTCATCTTTTCCGACAGAAAATCGCCTGCTGGCATTTCAACCGGAATATAAATCAACTGTAACATTTCGGTCAGGAAATATCACCGAGGCTGGAATATCCTACGCGCTCCTATTCGAATTCCTCTCGCATTCAGCATTAATCATAAGAACGTCTCGGGCGACAACGTTATATAGCGTTCGCGGATGCTCGATGGGCACGGAAATCTGATCGTACACCTGCTCTTTAGTCTCCACCCGAAATTATGTCTGTCCGATTATGTCGCTTATCTATATCGACGATCTACCCCAGCACGGGATATCCTATATACCGCTGGGCACGATTCCCCCTGTCTTATCTAGGAGGAACATCTCAAACTCATCCCTAGTGTGTCGCCGTTACACCCCGCCAGTCCACCTAAAGACTTATCCACTCCATTTGCCCGATATTCTGGTTGACATCTACAGGGCAAAACGCGCTCGCGCGCAGAATCGCTCGAAGGGATTCCTCCTCCACCACTGCACAATATTCTGAAAATAAAACATGGCCATTCTCTCTACATTACCAAAGAACGCTGGAAAAAGACGTGGAGAACCGAGGATGTGTCCGGCATGCAACAAGTTGCGCGATTTCACGATGCCAGATTACGCGATCGCGATAAAATCCATGACCCTCATTGACGCGATTCGCAGCCGATTTCATCGTTGACGACTGCAATGGCAAGATTGTCGATCGACTCGATAAGCAGAATAGCTCGATACGCAATGTCTCGATTGAAATACACGATCTATTTGTAAATGAGACAATCGTCAGCCCCTTATTTCTGTCGATATTCACGGAAAAGATAATTTCATTTTGAAGTATCGAAAGCAGCTAAATACAGAAAATAATTTTGTTAGATCATCAAAATAATTGTTATAGAAAATTCAAGTATGATGACAAATGCTACAAAAGTATTGACATTTAAGCAACAAATCATTATTTTCAGATTTATATCTAGCTACATTTTTGCAAAGTGCAATGTAAAAAAGTTCCAAAATATATTTATCTTTTATACATATCTTTTATACATATTATATTTAGAAACATTACTTCTTCGATTAATTTAATTTAAGATTTATTGCAACACTGAGAAAAACGTTTGACTTACAAAAACTTTTTTACTTTTCAATTTTAAAATTTTGTTGCTCTAATAAAAATTTGGTTAAGACTATTATTGATATTTAAGATTAATTACTAATTCGACCGTATACGCAATCGACAATACACACACATTATCTAGTGTATTTATATAAATTTCTTCGTTGTACTCTCGAAAGGACTGTTTCTTTTGTTTCCCTGAAACTTTAACGAGATCCCAAGCGTGGACATCCTTCGTCGGATCTTTCGCAGTGGAACCGTCCGCAGTGAATTGCAAGAAGAAGTCGTACGGATACGGCGAGCACGATGGAAGGGATATCGTTTCCAGTAAATTCTCGGGCAGACGCGGGCCCATTCCTATCCGGTGAAGTTTTATAGTCTATCGATATACGAACGGATTCCCTTAAATTCCGTCGGTAAAGTTGGGACCGTGGGGAGGGTTTAATTTGTAAAAGCTAATTTGTCGAACTTTTAAGGTGACCCGTTCGGAACTCCCAGCGTTTTCCCTTCCCGCAGATAATCAGGAACACCTGGGACGTGTCGACCGCACGTGTATTATTCTTCCTTTTCGTTTTCCGAGACACGAAAAGGAAGCGAGAAAAACGCGAACATAGCTCCTTAGCTTTTATTTGATGTTGTTTCCGCTGATCAATTGACGTGTTTTATTAAAATAATTATTTAATCAGTGTCGTAAAAAAACTAAAATTTTTAACGCATCGAAAAGATATTAAATAAATAGGTAAACTGAATTCGAAGGTTACATTTGGTTAACAAAATAGTTTTAATTGTTTAGAAAAATAGTGATTTGGATAACACAAATAATAATATAAAAGTTAAAGAAAGATCCATTTCGAGGTATGGCACAGTTTCATAGTTATTTTCTCACTGTTATGTTTTTATTTAATTAATATCGAGCTACATATTTTCTTGTTGCAACAATAACAATGAGAGATTGTAAAAATAATTGTAAAAAAATAAATCAATAAATCAATAAATTGCGCTCGTTTTATTATATAATAGAATTTCATTTGTTCTCTGTTGCTTGTAATAATATAAGTCTTTAGACTACCATACTTCCAATCACAATTTTTATGTCGACAAGCTCATTGTATTGTTTTTTACAAGTACACATGACATTGGAAATGGTACACGTTCAAATTTTATTATTTTGACTTTTGACTTCACTTTTTTTCGTCTTCAAAACAAAATAAGACATAATTTTATTCTCTGACAATTTTTCCTTACCGTTTGACTTGTCGTGAGAAATGTATTTTATTTTTATATTTAATTTTAGATTACTTTTATTATCAACTTTATATTTTGATCTTCGATGTGACTTTTACATTTGTTTTCATTTTTATTTCACTTTCAATTATTTAATTTATGAATTTATTCATCTATATCATATTGTCATTTTCTTTTAATTACTTAATTGAGAATGATTAAAATTAAATGAAAATATTTATATAGTTCGTTAAGTAAATGATTAATTAATTATATTTTTAATTTTGAGTTTCACTGACTTTTCTTTGACTTTTCTTCTTTCTCATTTTATTGAATTGTAAAAAAATTAAATAAATCTAAACAGTCGTTTGAAATCAAGTAAGCAGCAATTTCATTATCTAGAATCATAGTAAAATTCACGTTTCATCGCAAGTTCAGTTATCTTATGTCATAACTTGACGATATGACGATGAAAAGGAAATTGTTATTAATTGTTATAAACTTGTGCTCGGCTGACAATCAGAATTTCTACGAAACTTTAATTGAATCTCGCAAAGGGTCGCATCGATGAGTACGTGAGGAAATTTTGCTTAGAAGAAGTGATTAAATCAATACAAATTACCAACTGTTGATTATTTCCGCCTGAACCCCGACAATCTAACAAAAGTATTAATAAAAAAAGGTCTATTTATCATTTTTTTACATTTTTTCTTTTATTTACTTCCTTATTATCCTAGATGTAAAGATGGATCATTCTCAACACTTCCAACTATTGAGTCAATTAACATTATCGCGCGCTGTCATTTTACAAATTATAATATATTATTTTTTATAAAGAGTGCAATATACTTTTCAGAAATTTATGAAGAGATCAACGAGGAAATCTATTTATTTCATCTTGTCTTGTTTTTGAAAAAAATTAGAACTAGTAACTCCTTGATGACGAGGGTCACAAGAAAGCAATTATCGAAATATCAAACGCATTCTGAAAAGTAAAGCTCTCGACGGCGCTACAAGCAAAGGGGAAGACTTTGTTTCTCGAAGGGAAGGGTCAGCTTTCCTCCACCGTTGCTCATGTTGTCGTTCTTCCCTTTAGTTCCAGTGTCCTTTCGAATCTCTTTCGAGCGAGGAAGAAGCGGTCGGTATATATCGAAGAAAAGCTCTCGAAGAGAATTCTTCTCGAGGTGTAAGCGCTTCCGTTCCTTATTTCGCGCGGCGGCGCTCCGATTCAGCAAAGGACTACGTGGATTTACTTCGACAACAGAGATACACTGGGAAACGTACAATGGCGCCTTGTTCGATACTGGAAGAAATCGACGAAGGTACCGTTCGGCGAGTCCCTTAGTTTTACGGGAAATGCGATATATTATAGGAGCGACAAAGCGCCTATGCCTTTTGTCTTTCGCCCGGATTCTCGGACCTTTAAGTTAGAGCATTCGTACAACAAATGTTTCGTTCATTATGTCGCTATCTATTATTTCTTATCTATATATCATTATATATTAAAATTATATAATAGTATAATATATAATAGTATAATTATATAATAGTATAATGGCTATTTTAACAAGTTAAAAGAAAAAAGGCGAGCCAGAAATTTTACGTATAAATAAATTGGTAGAAAAGTAAAAATGTCTTAAATAAATTATTAACTTTAATAACATGTGCCGGCTGACAAACGTTTCCATCAAGATTGGATCATTATCAATGCTTACCAAATATGTCTAACGAATCAATAAATTAAGATGGTTATATAATTGTTGATAAATAAATTAAGATGATAATATAATTGTTGATAACAATTATATAGTTATATAATGAGAAGTATATTTTAAATTTCTTCGATCGACTTTATGTTATGTTTTTTACTGTTTAGACATATTTTGTAAACATTGACAATGATCGTGATCGAAACGTTTGTTATTAAAGTTCATAATAATTTATTAAGACATTTTTACCATTCTATTAAATCATTATATATTATTTTGTATAAAATGTATTAAATTTTGTGTTCTCATAATTTATAATGTAATAATCCCTGTTTTATAGTATTCAAAAAAATAGATTGAATATATATTGTTCTGAGTATGTATCATATTACGATATATTTTAGGAAATTACTATATCAGAAATCAACAAGAGCATTTAACAAAATATAAATCAGTAAAGAATCTAAGAAGTAGTAAAGTCAGTCATTTGTCAGTCTAGATATTCTATAATATCGACTTTGAGATAAGACACATACTTTCATCTTCTTCTTCTTTCTTACCTATAAAGCCAACTTTACTAGAGTTAAAAATTTTAGAAATCTGCATGTTTCAAACTAAATGTTGTTAACTGCAGTACAAATATTATTTGCATATTTATAGTTACACAAAATTATCCCAAAACTTTAAGTCTCTCTTAAAAATTAATAAATATTAACTATAACGTACCAAACGCAAATTATATCGTTTTTTTGCAGCAATAATATTCGCAAATGTGGATACACATTACTTTTAGAATTTAAAAAAATTGTAAATAACGGTTATTCGACAAAAGATCTACAATGACAGACCTATCTGGACAAAGAAGGTGAGAGACGATGGAAAGTGTAGTTGCACAGGTCTGCCAATTCTTAGAGAAGAGAATGAAGCACGGCGAGACTTCATGCCGAGTTTTTCCCGTTCTCAATTAAGTTTGAAAGTCCATTCAAACGGGGAATGGAGCTGTAAGATCTCTTCTTTCTCCTCCGTAAAATCTTCGCCCATGGCACTATTATTGCTCAGGCTGCCTATTATTGTTCCCTCTTTTCGCCGCCGCGAACTCGTAATATGATATATATGAAGCCTCGAGACGCAAAATATCGTGCTCGAGCAATATTGTGGTTACGTTAAATTGCCAATACGTGCTTTATCGGAGAAGCGTAACGTTAAGCGTTACCTTTTCCATATCAGCGATGCAAATCCAACGAAAAAGCTGGCCTGTTTTCCAAAGTAAAGAAGGAACTCCGGGGTGCATTCTCTTGATCGCGCACGCCGTTCTTGAGAGACGAAGCGGCAGCTTCCGGCGAAAAACAGGAACTGGGGTAAAGACTTCACGATTTCGCGCATGAGATAGTATCGCACGGTTCGTTTACTTGCATCTGGGAATATACGGATCCTAACAATCGAGAGGAAATATCGTCCGAAAGCTCAATGAAATGGATACAAACAAACGTTTAACTTATGCCAACAAGTAAATAAAGAAAAACTCTCTCCGGATTACGGTATAAGATAGTAGATATGGTAAATAACAACGCTCGCATCGATATCGCCGATAAATTATGATAACAGGAGTACAACCATGTTTTCATTCAACCATGGATTTATTGTAATCTGTTCGTAGAACATTTGTCAAATAGTGAATAAATTAAGACATCAAACTTAAGGCAGCAATAAAATTAGTTAAAGTCGATGGATATGTCTTACCCTTTACGATCTTCTAGGCAGATTGAACGTTATTATCATTTATCGGTGGAACGAAATGGATGGAAAAGAGTAAGAGAAAGCAAGAGCTCCGCCTAGAGAAGCCACAAATCCAATGTTCGCAATGAAACGTAAGTAATTCCTCGCACCCTTCCGCCGAGTCGCATTGAACGCGACGAGTCGCTCGAGTTTGAGGAAATAGAACGAGAGAAGACATTGAGAAAGCAGTAAAGAAAAGAAAAATACTGTCCCCGTAGAATGGACCCTGCCTGCCGACCCTGGCGGATCCCGAACAAGGTTGGGGAGGATATATAGGGGAGGTTGGGAGGATTTGAAGATCCGTCTTTCGAGAAAATACAACGAGTTCAACCCAGCCGAGGCATTCGACTCGCGTCGGACGGACAACACTACAACGACGAAGCCGAGCGGAATCGCGAGACCGACCTCTATTGATTCCGCGTTATTCCTTTGCCCGTTCCCAACAAGAATTGAATCCTTAGTCGCTATGGTCTACCTCCATCACTCGCTTTTGTACGCCGCCCCTTCTCGCTTCTTGTTCTTGATTCCTATATCGCGCTTGTCCATTTTCCTCACCCGTGTCTCAAGAAGCTTCCGAAGCGAAAATCCTAAGTCGCGCGAGATGGTGTTTTCCATTACATTTAGATGTATTGTACTTTCCCTTCTCCTCTTTAAGTACGTTTTACTTACAATAATTTAAATTAAATTAAATTCAAATTGAATAATTTATAGCTAATTTTAGATAGTTGATTTATGAAGACAAATGAGCTAAATATTGAGTGACTTATAATTTTGCGCGTGCGTATAATATTATAATCAAGATAAAAGGTTTTTAAATATGACAATAAATATCTAAATGCTAATTTCGTAGTCGCTTTTTTATTGCTGAATATGAAAATAAAGTAAAATTCAGTATAAAGGGAAACGTACCTCCGAACGAACTTTTTCTAGCAACAACTAGCTAACCACCATAAATTCAAGAGAGTTCTAATACCCGTACGTGCCGATACAAACTCGGCGAGCTCTCCCATCCAATACCCGGACAACCCAAGCATTACGTAAGGGAAATATCTAAGGGATTACTTCGGCATACCTACGCGTAGAAATTTCTCCAACTACCGGCCTTAAGAAGGCACTCCAGGGCAGCTTAGAAGGCTTCTTACGAGCGCACCAGCAAAGAAGAGCACGCGAAGAGATACGTCTACACATGCACGTACACATACACATACGTATAACGCACACTCGTACGCGAACGATATACCTGCGTACACTATTGCCGAAGTGGAGCGTTGAGAGGCTTTGATGAACATAATGAACGGCTCAGTGCCGCGAGCACGAGCGTTTTCCTTTAAGCTCTGGCTCGAGTGTTGTTCTCGTTCTTGTTTTATAAGCACGGGGAATCTGTAATACGCCCTATGACGCTTAGACGAAGAAAGGGAAAGAAATGCGGAAGACGAATAGGTCTGTTGTGTCAATGCAATGCGTACAAACGCGAGATGTTGATCGAAAAGTGGAATAGACTTTTAACAAGATCGTACACGGAAAGAATGATTTTGCTGAAGTATCCAAAAATTTAAAAACAGCTTTGATAATTTTGTTGGACCATTAAAATAATTATATAGGAAACTCAAGCATGATAAGCAATGCTGCAAAAAATTTGGACGTCCAAATTTTGAACGTCCTGTATAATTCTTTGGATAGTAAAAAAATTATCCTTAAATCTGCTATCTAGCTGAATTTTTAGATACTTCAGCAAAAACTGTTCTTTTGTGTAGCAACATTGCAATATAACGTCACTGATACTTTACTGTAAATAAATACTTTTCTTTTTTTAAATATTGCTATCAATATTCGTGATATATATTATATAATTCTCATTTAATATCGTAATTTCACTATAGCCTTGTGCCATAACTATGCCAAACACCCGCGCACGAAAACACAAATATCGGTAGCGTAAGACCATAGTTGTGTGAAGTTTCAGTACTTCGATACTAAATTCAAAAGGGTTGCAATCTGGCTGAAACAGTTATCTGCTATCAGAGAATTATATTGTCAATCTTACTAAGAGCTTATTTCGTAAAATTTAACATATTCGCAAGATATCGCTGATCTCTCTAATGTGAAATTCTCTAATCAGTACTCACAAATGATCCTGCCGTTTAAACGCCTTGCCGCACATCGTGCACACGTATTTCCTCTCGTCGCTATGCGTCAGTTTGTGCTTCGTAAGCGCCGATGCATTGTTGAACACCTTCCCGCAGATCTGTAACAGAGAGAAACAACCATCGTTGCAGCAGCAGTGTAGATGAAAATTATATATGGCGTCTGTCGAATCGTGGTTACGCACAATTACGTTACATTTGCCACTGAATGCAAGTCTCTCGATTATCATCGTGGTGTAGTGGAAGCCACATTGTACACATATCCGATGGAATTTCTTTTCATCGAGTACATTAGCGACGTACGAAGAGTCACGCGAACTCTATTTCAAAACTCCACAAGAAATTAAAGCGTGTCTATAATTTACAATTAGCATGCTAATCGTCTAAAGCGAGGATATTGTTTTATGACAGGCATTAGAACAAAGATATCAAATGATTATCGTATAACATATAAACGCGGATCTCTTCTGCCCGCGAATTTATCTTCGCACAACGCAACAATTATTGTGACTAGCATCGCCGATAAGAATAATTTCGCAATTGCTATAACAAACGATAATCGCGTTCTTAACATGACAGAGTCAAATAAATGTATTTATTCTATTATGCAATTTTGTTTAATATATTATTTTAAAAGTAAAATATAAATAAAGTTTCCGTGCAAAAACTTTAAACTTTTACAACTTCTGTTCTGTACATAAAATAAAATCTATAAAATAAATCTATAAAAAGTATTAGATATGCAATTTATAAATATGGAAGTTATAAAAATTTAAAACATAAAAACTTTATAATCACTTTTCTATTCTAAGAGATTGATAAAAATAAATCCACTCTTTCGAACAATTAATATTGTCAATAATAAAAAATATAATATAAAAAGTATAATATAAAAGATTTCATTCTTTCGTGCCACAGAATTAAATTAGTTATTCTCGCCGCAAAGTATCGAGATGGGACAACGAGAAGAAAATATGATGGCCGTTAATACTTCCCTGATAAATGATGCTATTATTGTCGGTCCTATTAAAGAATAAGAGATGACCGGTATCATCGCAATACGTAGAAATTACTCACTTTAATACCGCATCGTGTGTCGGTCGTAGATATATAGTATACCCGTTAAGTATGTGGAATTAGGTTTATTATACGCGCCTCCAGGTCGCGGACTATTTCAGGAACTATTTCAGGTAGCCAAAGGCCGAGGAACTGAATGCGGCCAGTGTTCTACCCGAAAAGCCAATGCCTCGTTCAAATGAGCGACGAGTTCGCCGTCATAGAAAATCGTGCGAATTCCGCGGGTCCATGAACGATAGGAACGATTAACATTTCCAATAAATTTGCCCTGCGTCTTTCGCCACGAGCTTGTCTCTGCCTCTCGAAATGCCATGCATAATGTAATCAAGCGGTATCATCGAGGTAACATAATTAAAATGAAAAAATAAATATACTCTCCTCTGTCGATATTATTTTACAAAATAATATCCTAGGTGTGTGTAAACTTTAAAACGAATTAAGGAATCAACATAATTGCCCACTAATAATTGTAATGTAATTTCACTTAAATAATTGATTTATCATAAATAACAATCCATCTTTTCTATGTTGTAAAATTGATAGATATTACATTCCTTAAATAAATTTCAGTACTCGCAAAAAAAAAAACCAAAAAACAAACAAGATGATAAGGTACATACTAAATGGGATCGATAATGCGAGAAGTACAAAACGCTTGCGATGTGGTTAAACTCGCTCTAATGCGTGGCTGTTCGTGGAATCCCGCGGACGAGATTCGGAATATCACGTCTCGAGGGCATCGGGAATTCATCGTCACGTCGAAGGATTCGCGGTGCTGGCGCCGCGGCATTAAGCCGAAATTAATTTCCAATGCACCTGCGGTCGTCGCCGCGTCACGTGACGACACGGAAAACGTGCGATGGCACGATTCCGAGCCTCCATTATCGGAAAAGTCTTTTCCGCTTCTCGTTTCGCTGTTATTTCCAAATGTTCGACGAAAGGTACATGAATCGCCGGTGATTCCGGTGAAACGAGAAAAGCCGAATCCGAAGTCGCGAAAGAATACCATCGTTTTCCTGAATAACGGAATTTCTTTTGACTTGAAAAAACTATTTAACAAAAGAAGAAAGAAACGTAAGTGTCGATCGTATAAGTGTTGTATTATTTGAACTTTTTAACTCATATACGATGAGAAATCGAAGGATGATTTGATTTTTTGTGTGCAACAGTAACAAGACAAGCTATAGATAAACTAAAAATTAAAATTATAAAATTCTTAATTACTTTATTACTTTTATTATCTATGTATCTTCAATGTCACTTAAATGTAAAAATCGCGAAACTAACGCAGACGAGGTCCCTGGCTTTTCGGTATAAAAAATGAAGCTTGTTGACATCCGGCAGAATACGAACTTCCTGCGGAATCCTCGCAAGCACTCATGCGAAGCGATACTATTTAACCATGAGCCACGGTTGCTATGACGACTCACGTATAGCTTAAACGGTACAGTCTGTCGGCAAACATTTGCTGGGATCTAGCAAACAGGCAACAAATTCCATTTCATGAAGGAACGGGCGTACATAACGAACGTCCTCGAGAAAACGAGAAGTACTCTCCAACATGACAGAAGAAATTTCCGGGCCATAGATAGAAAAACTTCGCGTCGGCTCCACTACCGAGAGTAAATCCCAGATTAAAGAAAAAGGTATTAAGACGTTCCTGACGCGTCGCGGATAATATTGACCAAAGACGTGAAGCGGACCAGCAAGGGAGGAGATAAGGGAGAGCGGCGAGAAAGTACGAGCACAGATAAAAGGACGTAAAAACTGCGAAAAAGGGACTAAAAAAGAGCCAGAAATGACGTAAACGCAAAGATTTAAGACGTGTAGAGGTGGCCGTATATATTCAAGAGGTGGGATGAACGTTTGCACACGGTCTCGTGGAGGTCTCGCAGGAGCCAAGGGGGAGGAGGGGGGAGGGGGGGGGGTTCTGGCTCCTAAGCAGAAAATCTAATTTGCGTAGCTTAACTCCTAAGGAGCTCCAGATGCACGGACGCCAACACACGGGAGTTTCAATTTACGAGGCGAGGACCGAGACCGAGGGAGAAAGATGAGAGGAGCTGCTAGAGTGACGGAGAAGAGGCAGTAGAAACGGCAGATGGCGAGATAAGAGTGAGTGAGTGAGTGAATGAGAGAGAGAGAGAGAGAGAGAGAGAGAGACAGACAGACACGCGAAGATCTAAGGAAGGAGGATGCAACGAAGAGAGCTCAACGAAGGATAGGGTCTTTTCCCTCACCCATCATCTCCGTGCCAAAACCCGTATCTCCACCCCTGACGCGGACCCTCTTCTTGAGAGCTAAACAAACATCATTACTCCTGGCCTTTCTGGCTACCACTCTCTTTGCCAACCCACCTCCGGTCGCCACGATCTCTGGCCGCATCTCGTCTGTATACGATGGTTCTCGGTCGTCTCCACTTGGCTCGCGACTGCAGCCTGTAGCGCTGTACCAATGTACACCAACCAACACCGAGCTCTGAATACGTAATCCCGCGGGTGGTAACATTGATACTTCGTTAAGAGGGAACCTTGGTAGGAGAGGTACGCGCGGGAGAACACTTGGGCCGAATCAGTGGTCGGAGAGGCGACCACAGAGCGATTCATGATTTCAACTGGCCTCATCGATCGGCCGATCCGCTTAACGGTCTTTCTGACCAATCACGTTCGTCGCGGCCGTTCTTCCAATAAGAAGTACGAGTGAAGGATCAAATGTGAAATTGTGTGTACCACTCGTCGGTGGTACGACAAAGCTTCGTTCTAAAGTTTTGATGCTATATTCTAAATTTGAGAGAACTATGTATAGGAAGATCGAGAAGATATCTTTCGATCTCTATGGTTTTGCTCGATTCAATCTGATAACTAATTTGAATATATCTAGGTAATCAATGAAACGAAGAATAAGCGACTGTCCGCGTATTTATAACTTTTTAAAAAATTGTTTTAAAAATATTACGTAATATTTAATTTAATACAGTATGTGTACCAAATCAAATCAAAGATAACTCTATATATATATATATATATAATTATATATACATTATCTTATATTAAAAAATATATATTGGATATAATAAATAATTGAGGCGTCAAATGGCTTGTCGCTCGGTGCTTGACTTGCGATTTGTAGATCCGGGCTCAATCCTAGAGCCGAAAATGGCTCCACTTGATTAACAGTCCTTTGATCATCAGCGCCGTTCGAATCCGGCGTTAAACTGTAAGTCCCATATATCAGTGAAATGTGTAGATTCCCCAGGCTGGGGGTTGGACATTAGGCTAACAACTTAATTCCGGAAAAAATTCATTGTTACTGAAGAGACCTTATTAGAGGCCTTACGCTCTACACAGAAAATTAAAGAAACGTGTATATATGTGTGTACATACACACACACACACACACACACACACACATACACACACACAATAATATCTGCAACATAATTCACACATTGTATGTAATTGTCAATCATGAATATAAATATCTTACAAAAAAAAGAAAAGGAAGGGAAGAAAGAAAAACAAGAGATTACTTCATTACTTGAACGCTTGCTAAAATGAACAGCCATCACGCGGCTCGTGAGTAAAATGCGTGTCTATGGTTTCATTCGGTTAACGTTTGTTCCGACTACCCACGTTCACGTCCCGTGCCGAGTTTTCTTTTAACAGAGGCTGGAAGCAGTAGCGTAACCTCGAGAGGGCGAGGCCGCTGGGCGAATGCAATTTGTCGCTTCCGGGCAGGCGAATCTTTTAAAGAAGTGCATCTTATTACCAGCAACCGTTAAGGAGACGAGAAACTCGCGCTTCCGTAAATAATGAGAAAGGCAGCCTTCGCGAGAAGGAAAGACTCGGTGTGCCGTCGTTGCTGCTGATGTTGCAAAGAGACAAAGGCTCGCCGCCATGATGGCGCAGGAGAATATTATTCTCGTTTGAGGGTTGAGGACGACCAAGTAATGTACGAATGGACTATGTTGCTAGAGAAAAGGACGATGAATGGGACGCAGGAAATCGCGTTACCGTTCGGGATTTCC